TACCGCATTACAGCCGATTTACGTTACAAGTGTCTACACCCGTGGCCCAAGAGCGATGAAGTGAGCTCAAATGGCAACGTGCAGCTAGCCAGAACAATCAGCAGCAGGGGCTTTAGGCGGGAGACTGTGGTGCAGCATTTATTTTATTATTGGTAACGGTGGCATATGTTGAAACATATGCCACCGTTACCGCGCCATTTTGCGCCAACCGGGGCACGACACCGGTTGGCGCAAAATGTTCACGCCGCTGCTCACCTTCCAGATCGTGGCCTGTTGGGTTGCAGACACCGTTGGCCTGGGCGACTGCGCTTGGTCACCACCCGGTGACCTACCCGTGCCCATAGCGCCCTCAAGCCATCTGGATCAACCACGGATTTCGTCACCAATCGTCAGCCCGCTGATACCAGCCCGCGCCTGCAGCTACGCCTGGCAACGCTTCTCATCGTCGACGTCACCAACCACGTGGGGCCAATGCGGCCTACATAATCTTCACAACATCACCAAAAGCTCGGGGCACGACACCGGTTGGCGCAAAATGTTCACGCCGCTGCTCACCTTCCAGATCGTGGCCTGTTGGGTTGCAGACACCGTTGGCCTGGGCGACTGCGCTTGGTCACCACCCGGTGACCTACCCGTGCCCATAGCGCCCTCAAGCCATCTGGATCAACCACGGATTTCGTCACCAATCGTCAGCCCGCTGATACCAGCCCGCGCCTGCAGCTACGCCTGGCAACGCTTCTCATCGTCGACGTCACCAACCACGTGGGGCCAATGCGGCCTACATAATCTTCACAACATCACCAAAAGCTCGGGGCACGACACCGGTTGGCGCAAAATGTTCACGCCGCTGCTCACCTTCCAGGTTGGTTACCTTACCCATTCTAAACAATACTATACCAATAACTACTTCCTTGTCACGGTGTCGTGCCCCTACGACTTAAAATTGCGCAACTGGCTATGTACTTGTTACAATGTGTTCACCCTACAATTGTTGTCACAGTTGATACTCTTACTATCAGGGGATGTGGAACTAAACCCCGGTCCAACTAAAGCACAGATAGAACCTCTATCAGACGCTATCAAGAAGATCGAGCAAACCGTTTTAACCATTCGTGAAGATATTAATCAGCTCAAGGCAGTACAAACTAACCATGAAACAGTTCTCTCAGCACTAACAAACCGAATCTCAGCGCTAGAAACAGTCCAAATCGAACCCTCATCGGGCGCCGTACCCGATGACGCCGCCAAAATCAAACATGAAATTGAAACGCTAAAAGCTGCTAACACCGACGCTAGTAATCGACTGCGCCGCAATAACCTTCTCTTTTTAGGTATTGAGGACTCTGTTAAAGAAACTTGGGAAGAATCAGAGCTTAACGTCATAAACTTTTGTTCCGCCCAACTAGATATTACGCTCGAACCAAGAGCCATAGAACGTGCTCATCGGATCGGAAAATTTGCCCCAGACAAGAATAGGCCAATCATGATAAAGCTCGCTCACTTTAAAACAAAAGAAAAGATTTTGAGCTGCGGAATTAAGCTCAAAGATACGACCTTCGCCGTAAGAGAAGACTTTGCAGCAGCCACTCGCCTTGCACGCTCTAAATTACTCAAATTCATTCGGCCACAAAAGTGTGCATTTAAGCTGAGGGTTGACAAACTTATTGTTGGAAATAAATCATACTTCTATGACGCGAAAACTGATAAAGTCACAGAACTTCGGAACTCACCCGTCATTACATTTGAAAACAGCGCATCATCGGAAGCCACCTCTGTTGGCAGAACATGACGGGTTTGCAATCATTCCGCCTCGTGTAACACGTGTATCCGTCCTATGGCATTTCTAAACATAAACATTGCATTTACTAACATACGAAGCATAATTCCTAAACGCGACGAACTTTGCAGTTTCATAAATGATATCAGTGCTGACATGGTGATACTAACTGAAACATGGTTGCATGATGACGTCACAGATACGGAAGTGTTTCCATCCAATTTAAATTTTACAATTTTTCGCCGGGATCGCAAAAGTAAGAAAGGAGGTGGCGTGCTCATAGCTATTAAAAACACTCTAGCATCCTCACTTATTTTCCATGACGATAAAATAGAATTAATCTGGGTTCTTGTCTCCAACGGAGCCTCGAAATTTGTTTTTGGTGTCTGCTATAGGCCGCCAGACAGCCACCCCGACTTCTGCGACCTACTTCATCAATCCCTCCACACCATTACAAAAAAACATTCTAATGCACCTATATTTTTGTTTGGGGACTTCAATTATCCTTCAATCAGTTGGTCGTTGCTTTCAGCGTCGAATGGGACATCATCTAAAGAGCAACAATTTTTAAACACTGCCCTTGATTTTAACCTTCACCAGGCTATTACGTGCCCTACCAGGGGCAATAACATACTAGACCTCCTGCTAACTTCGAGCCCTGACGACATAAAAACCATTAATACGCTCCCTGGTCTTAGTGACCACAACCTAATCCATATTTGCATCGCCTCCCCGCTTAAAAAGAAATCACCCACACGGAAGGTAATCACGGATTACAAGAGAGCAAATTTTGATGCGATTAATCACGAACTCGCCAACTTCTTAGAAAACTTTAGGAATACGCACCTAAAACGAAGTGTCAACTGTAACTGGGAACTTTTTAAGACTACAATGCTTAACCTCAAAAACAAATACATTCCTTCTACCCTCATTAAATCAGATTCAAACTGCCAATGGTTTAACAAACAGCTAAAATTACTCTGTAACCGAAAGAAACGCTTGTACAGAACGGCCCGCCTAAGCCAAAGTTCAACTGCGTGGGAGCGCTACCGCGCGTGCGCTAATCAGTACTTAACCGAACTAAAAGCTGCAAAAATCAAATTCTTTTCCCATGACCTACTATCAATTCTTCAATCAAATCCCAGCAAATTTTGGCGCATGCTGTCCCCCAAGTCACAATCTAATCGAATAAGCCTCACTAACGCTGACGGAGAACCAATACACGCTGACCAGTGCGCTTCTGCTTTAAATGACCACTTTACGTCTGTGTTTTCCTCTGCCAACACCACTGATACCGTAACACTGCCCGAATCTGCAGCTGTAGCGATGCCAGAAATTGAAATTACCCCAGAAGGAATATTCCTACTCATTAACAATCTTAAAGTTTCATCCTCGGCGGGCTGCGACAGTATTAACAGTAAATTACTAAAAAATACCGTTTCTGTCTCAAGCCAAATACTTTGCCTAATCTTCACACAATCATTACAAACAGGAAACGTCCCAGACGATTGGAAGAAAGCTCAGGTTATTCCCATCTTTAAATCAGGCAACCGCGCAATCCCAGCTAACTACCGACCTATTTCCTTAACCAGCATCCCATCTAAAATGCTCGAACATATTATAGCTTCAAACCTAATGACATATCTGGAATCCATCAAATTTTTCTTCGATCACCAACATGGTTTCCGGAAACAACTATCATGCGAAACACAACTGGCCGAATTCACACATGATATTCTTCACTTCATGGATGAAAATCTTCAAACTGACGCCATATTTTTAGATTTCTCTAAAGCATTCGACCGTGTTCCTCATAACCTCTTACTCTCTAAACTATGCAACCTTGGAATCCCTCCCAACATAATTTTCTGGATAGAAAATTTTCTAAAAAACCGTAAGCAGTTCACCAGCGCTAATGACCACGACTCACCTCTTTCCGACGTAACGTCCGGCGTCCCCCAAGGTGCCTGTCTCTCCCCGCTCCTTTTTCTAATATACATAAATGACTTACCCACCAATGTGCTAACCAAATTAAGACTTTTTGCCGATGACTGCGTTTTATACTCTCCAATCTGTACACCAGACGACAGCATTAAACTTCAACATGATTTAAATTTAATTGTAACTTGGTGTGATAAGTCACTAATGCCGTTAAACCTAACTAAGTGTAAAATTATGTCATTCACCCGCAAAAAGAGCCCAGAAAAATTTACCTATAGCATAAAGTCTGTTCCCATTAGCCCTACCCTATCATACAAATACCTCGGAGTGCATCTGTCATCGTCGCTATCCTGGTCAACCCATATTCAAATAATCTGTTCAGAAGCTTCACGCACTCTCGGATACCTGCGCCGCAACCTAAAATTAGCCTCACCAGACATTAAAAAATTAGCTTATGAAACGTACGTCCGACCGAAACTAGAATATGCTTGCTCAATTTGGCAACCCTCACAAACATATCTAACTAACGATTTAGAAAGGATTCAGAACCGCGCTGCCCGTTTTATTTACTCCCAATACTCTAACGATATCAGCGTTACTGCACTAAAAGAATCATTGAAACTGCCGTCCCTCGAATCTCGTCGTATCATTTCTCGATTGTGTCTGATGCATGCTTTCTATTATCACCCTCATTCACGGCACGTCCTCCTTCAACCATCACACAGAACTTCATCCCGCATAAACCACAGTCACCCTATCGCACCAATAAATGGACACACTTCTGCAATGATTACTTCCTTCTTTCCCAATGGGATAACACTGTGGAATAAACTACCTGATAATATAGTCACGTGTAATAACCGCCAAATTTTCCGCAGTAAGCTAAAATGTCACATGTCGCAATCTAACTGAATGTGCTGTTTTCCCTGCCAATGTTTAAATACTTTTTTTTAACTAATGTATAAACTGTCGTCACTTTTCTCTGGAAGCTTACCTTTGTACCATTACTTTTTTATTTGCATTTGGTAATATTGGCGTTTTACTTTGCATATTGTACCCTTTTTTTTTTATTGTTCTTTGAATGTTTACGTTTTGGAACCCTTCGAGTTTTGTTGAGTTGTTCGACATACCTTGTACGCCGCCCCCCCTTATGTAATGCCTCCGGGCCTTTAAGGTGGAATAAATGAAATGAATGAAATGAAAACATGCCAATTCAAACTTGGTGGTGTATTTAATTTTGCAACAATCCTATCAGGTCTTACAAGACAAAACAGTGGCTTGCCTTGATTGTCGCCGGATCTGATCGCAGGTCCTTCTTGTTGGCAACCAGGACTATGGGGACGCTTGGGCAGAAGTGTTTGACTTCCGGGTGCCACTTCTCGAGAATGTTCTCCAGGGAGTCGGGAGAGTCGATGCTGAAGCACATCAAGATAACGTCCGTGTCTGGGTACGACAGTGGCCGCAGCCGGTCATAGTCCTCCTGGCCTGCCGTGTCCCACAGGGCCAACTCCACCTGCGAGAGGATTAGTTCCTGTGATTGCACATTGCTCTAGTGTACAAGGACTTGCATGTAAGGCAGCCACTACCTCCTATGGTGGGACTGCTAATGTAAACTTATTGCTAACTATACTGTGTGAATAGAGTGACATATAGTACTCTCAAATCCTATTGTTTCTTTTGCACATGATGCATGTTGGAAATGCACGTGCCTCGAGGAAGATGGTGAAGAAAGAGGACGACGACATGGAGAGACTCGTGTAGTTTGGCCTGTGTGGCATTTAGTAGCCTGCGACATTTGAGTAAGCCTGCATGAAATGTGTTTTATTATGTGAGAGCAAATTATTTCTTTTATTACGAAGTCGAAGTCAACATGTCAGAAGTGGGATCGCCATCCAATCGCCACGGAGAGAAAATGTGAGTTCCGTCAGTCTACAAAGCTGATTAATGTAACCCGAGCCCCGATATGCAATGCACTGACGAAAGAGACAACCCAACTTGGGTGGAGGAGGTACAAACTTTGGCAATGTAGACACCATTACGGCTTGCAACTTACTCAAAGCTAACCAAGAAAGGGACCGTCTATTATCGACCCTTTTGGAACGACTGATTTTGGTCGGCACAGCACAGCCTCAACCAGTGCTAATGTTCCAGGTGATAAGTGACTTAAGCCGCAACATCAGCCCCCTTTACGGTTCCGGAGATGCTCCTTCAGCGTGCGAGTGGATTGAAAACGTTGGTCAGACGTCGAAACTTTATACGTGGTCAGCTGCCTACACGCTGTAAACTGCCAAAGCCCGTCTGGTTGAAGATGCCAATGACTGGTACCGTTCGAGGAGCTCCCCAATCGCATCATACCTTTGTTCACTATGGCTCCAGAGTTTACGCGACAGGCCATCATCTACTCTCTACCGGAAGTGTCGCGGCGGAAGCAGGAGACACCCAGTGTCTACGAGAACTCGAAGTCGCACCATTTGTGGCCAACAAAAGACATGTAGACCCATTTTTCAAAGAAGCCCCGTCGCACGCCGAGAACTCCGGAGATTGTGAAACGTTGACAACGAAGGAGGGCGAAGATCTGAAGCCCAAGATGTCTGCCGGAGCAATAGGAAAGCCAATAGACAAGGACGAAGCCAAAACTGAGGGTGTAAGAAAACCAAAAGACAAGGATTAAGCCAAAGATCGGGACAAAGAAAAGCAAACCAACTCCCAACACTGTTCCTTGAAAAAGAAAAAGACAGCGTGGCAAAGAGAGCGAAAGAAACTGAAAAAAAAAAAACATTGAAACCGAAGGAATGCGTAGAACCGAAGCCCAAGACATCTGCCAGAGGTGAAAGCCGGAAGATTAGGACACGGCCAAAGCTGGAAGCAGGGAAAAGCAGATTAACTACCAACACGGTGCTGCGAGAAAAGGCAGCGAGGCGGAGTGAAGGAAAAACCCGGAATCTTTTTTGTTCACTCTTAGTGAGGCTAGCGAACAGAAGAAAGGGGGGGGGGGGAGAGGAGCACAAAAAGACGCCGTTCTTCCTTGCCCTGCCCCCCTGAAACGAGACGGGTGACCGCCACGTTTGGGTACCCAGCCGAGAAGCTGTCTGTGACGTCACATGAACACTGTGTATATGAACTGAAACAAAGTGCTTGCTTGGGCTGGTTGGTGCTGCATGGTTGACGAAGGAACTGCTTAACAGTGCAAACAACAGGAGGGGATAGAAGAGACGAGATCAGCGCTCTGTTTTCGTCTCTTCTATCCCCTCCTGTCGTTTGCACTGTTAATCACTTTCCTTGTCTACCGTTATGCGAAATTTGAAAAAATACATTTTTTCCAAAGAACGTGTTTTTGAAGGTGGTAACCTACCTGCAGGGACACCAATTTCAAATAACTGTGTCAGAGTGAAAGCTCTATGTTTGATGTCTAACATGACAATATTATCAGCAGCAGTGTCCTACTTACCAAGAAATTAAGATAAATTTATCGCATGATGTGCGCCACCAGGTTGGAAATTTTGTAAATAATCCCTATAACATGAGAGTCAGACTACAATAAGTGACTAACAATTATGACAAAGACGTCGTTAGGTGTAAGTGTTCAGCTGATCGCGTTAGCGTTAGCTGATCGTGCCTAAGGTGCATAAGCAGGAACCTATTGTTAACTTGAGTTCATCGTTTTAGCACGCTTATTCATTGTACGCTAAGAAGTAACCCTGTCTAAGTTTCATTTGCGGTACGTTCTAATTTCAACAGCTACGGGGTCATTATACGTTGACTACTATAGAATGAGTTTTCCTTGCGGGTGACCTAACGTATATCGGTGTATTCATCCGCAACGTCATGCACCTTTAAACCATCATAATACTCGAGTTATTGCACGTTGCAGTATGTTGCTTTGTATTACGTAATGCTCACAAAGCTTGAATTCATGTCAACGTCTTCATGCAGCCCATCACGTGAAATTCGAGCTGGTGTTTTAATTCACCCACAACGTAGGTTGACTGATGTGGCCCACGCTTTTGCATATTAGGGAGTTCATTAAACTTGAACTGCATTCGAACAAATCCATGTCTGTTTAAAGGCGAATCACTGCACCTTAAGTGTGCACTCTAAAAAAAAAATGTAGAAATCTTGTAACCACAAGCATAGAGTTAGTAAAACAAGCTGCTAGTAGCTTTCTTGGACACTTACTATCTTTTGTGACCTCTTTACTGCACAGGTTTGCAGAACTTAAAGGCGCAACGGTTCTTTTGTGCACTGTTACTAACTTCTTGCCATGCACCTGTATAACAAGGTGGTATTATGCTAATATTCTTTGAAATAATATTTGATTAAAATTTCACGCTACCTTACTTCCGACACATTATAACTGTACACTGTCTAAACGAACAGGTAAATTTAAAAAAACATTTATCCTAAAGCATAGGCCCCCACCAGCACCAAGCAGTTACGTTCCCCAAAGTAGTACAGTACCGAGAAGCACTAGCGAGCCGAACGTCTCGCGTGGATATACTGTTGTGAGTGTGGTGCTGAGAGTCGTCAGGGTCTAGCAATTCACGCTGACGCTTTGTGGTGAGTGATGCAAACACGCCATTGCTTTCGTACGAAGCTTCCTGCCTTTCGCCACCTTCTAAAACTAGAAATAATTCACTCCTTACCTTTTCATGCACTATTTCACGTTATTAAACCAACCGTAGATGTTATTACTAATACGTATATCTCACTCCCGACTGAGCGCCACTGTCTATTTCTATGTCTATTTATTTAAGTTTTTAATTACTACCTCAAAATGCCAACAAAATAGCATACAGCTTTAAAGGCTGTCTACTCTTTACAGTAAGAAACTGTTCTCACTTAATTTTCCAGCAATCCAACCGCTCGCGGTGTATACGCTCAACGTAAGAATCACATGAAAGTAGCAGACTAGTCGCAAAACAGCTGCGCACAACTCTTCAATTGATAGGAAACGTCAAAGTGGGAGTGCGACCACTCGAAATCAGCAAAAGTCCCGACATTGGGGACATTCTAAAACCAACAATGTCAAAATTGAGTGAGACAGGAAGAAGTTAGGCGAGAATAAACGTGTGAAAAGCAGGGTCATTCAGGGCACTAAACCGGCCTAAGCTCGCAAGGTCAGAAGTTCCAAACTGCATGTTTTTTTTTTTCTCTATATATTCTTTTATTTTTTAAAGGAAAAATGGACTTCCAAACAGTTAAGAAAAGAAGGCAAGGCGAGCCACGAGTCAGGTGGTATTCTACAGCGCTAAGAAAGTGCGATAGAACCCCCTACTTATAGATAGTGCAGCATAGCATGCCATGTCGAAATTCGCTTCGAATGCAGATGCCACACCATTTCCTATTGTGTATTTACTTAAAATGCGCGATGACGGAATCGTTACAAAAAGAAATTGGCCCTCGGCCCTCAGTCCCCAGCGGCTGCGAAGAAACTGTCCAAGGCAGTAGCCACACCTGCAACGCAGCAGAGGGTGCTAAGAATCACTGGGTGCGGGCAGGCCGCCATTGGAATCTGAACTTGGCTACCTTCAACGCTAGAATACTATCTAGCGAGGCTAGTCTATCCGTGCTATCCGAGGAATTAGAGGGTGTTAAATTGGGTGTAATAGGGCTGAGCGAAGTTAGGAGGGCACGTGAGGCTTATACAGTGCTGAAGAATGGACATGTCTTATGCTACCGTGATTTAGTTGACAGAAAAGAGCTAGGGGTAGGGTTTCTCATATACAAGAATATCGCTGGCATCATAAAGGAATACGATAGCATCAGTGAGAGGGTGGCAAGTATCATAAGTTTAACAAAAGGCACAATATAAAGGTGGTACAGCCCTATGTGCCTAGATCAACCCACGATGATCATTTGGTTGAACGCTTCTATGAAGACATAGAGTCAGCCATTAATAAAGTAAAGTCACGGTATACAATTCTGATGAGCGACATTAATGCTAGGCAAGAAGCAGCCCGGAGACCATGCAGCGGGGGAAAATGGCATCGGCTCTAGAAATGCCAGAGGGGAGTTATTGGTAGAGTTCACAGAGTGTAATAACTTGCAGATCTTGAATACCTTCTTCCGAAAATGGGCTAACCGTAAGTAGATGTGACAAAGTCCTAATAGTGAAACTAAAAATGAAATAGAATTAATTCTGTGTGTACACACGGGCATTGTACAAGATGTAGAAGTAGTTGGCAATATCAGATGCAATGACCATAGGATTTTAAGAGCTTGTATTCCCCTACACTGAAAAAAGCAAAGACAAAAACTGATACACAAGAAGGCAATCAATGAACTTGCGGTGAAAGGTAAAGTACAGGAATTCAGTGTTTCGTTTCAGAATAGATTCCAGGCACCAACAAAATAACTGACGTTAGCGTTGACACAATGAACGGTAATTTTACCAGTATCATCAAAGAATGTGCAATGGAAGTTGGAGGTACATTCACCAGACAGGTCACTGGCAAACTATCCCGAGAAAGGAAAAATCTTATCAAGAGATGACAAACCCTGAAAACTTCAAAT